CTTAAGGTAAGAGGGTCTCCTCCACAGGACTACCTTACCACTCATCAGTGAGGTAATGTTTCACCAGGCTTCGGCTAAAATGTCCATCACTGTTTCACACTAGTACATGTGTTCTTTGGCGGCGCATGGCTTTCTCAATCACTGCCGGGAACATATAAATGATGACTTAAGCGATTTAAATATAGTTGCTAAATGCAGTATTTATTTTAAATTTCAGTTGTTTAAATTATATGGGACTCTATTACTGCATATTGGGGGAGGGGGGTCCGTTTTATCCAACTTTATAGCTAAAACGGCCTCATGACAATTGTTTTAATATCTAAGAATTATAAGTCCAATCTTTTCTAACTAAAAATAACATATATAATAAAACCGGGTCTATTTTAAAAACTTTTGCTTTTTTCATGAAATTAGTCTTAAATGGTGAATACCATATTCAAAGTTAAGATGGCTGTCTGACCCCACCTTCCTCTACTATATATAAACAAGTAGGTGTTTTGAGCTTTTGTAACATTACTGCTAAAACTATTCATCTTCCTGTAACATTATTAATTCTTAAACATATAATAATCAAAAGTTATCTAAAATAAAGAACAATTCGTGGGCCCGGCATGGCCAGGTGGATAAGGTGCTCGACTCACAATCTGAGGGTCGCGGGTTCGAATCCGCATCCCACCAAATATGCTCGCCCTTTCAGCCGTGGGGGCGTTATAATGTGACGGTTAGTCCCACTATTCGTTGGTAAAAGAGTAGCCCAAGAGTTGGCGGTGGGTGGTGATGACTAGCTGCCTTTCCTCTAGTCTTACACTGCTAAATTAGGGACGGCTAGTGCAGATAGCCGTCATGTAGCTTTGCGCGAAATTCCAAAAACAAACAAACAGACAATTCGTGAAATTTGTCCGACATGTTTTCAGTGCTTAAACTCAAATTTTAGTGTAAATTATTGATCTAATGACACTATTCACGAGAGAGAAAAAATACGTCTGACTTCAGTCGATGCAATTGGTCAGTTCAAACTGAAAATTACCTTATAAGAAAACGCTTAGTCTGCTAGCTAAGAAGTTAAACAAAAGAGAGCTCAAGTAAATATCTAAAGAAAGCTACTAATGTGTAACGGTCGAAAACACTGTTATGATAGAGCCTCGCTTAGTTTGACACATTCAATTACAGTTTCAACTTCAAAGCCAGTCAGCTACATGTTCTGATGATCGATTAAAAAAAAAACTCGTGCTTTCAAATATGCTTTCACTCGTCAGAAAGTACCCAGTCAAAAAGCTTTCGCTTGAAATGAAAATGATTTATTGATTTGTTCGTTTGACAGTCTATCCACCTATAATCCCAGTAAGGGAATTAAATATTTGATTGGATTTGGTATGTTGTATAGTAAAATTATATTCATATGTATTTTTATTTTGCTTTGTAATTCGCTAGTACTTGCAAAGTTTTTTTTTTTTGTGTACAAAACTTGAAGATAGCTTTTATATGCGGAAACATCTCTTAGCTGAGTTATTGCACAGATCTTAAAATATAACGTTCATAAACGGAAACATCGGCACATGTAGATATGTAGACCTTGAAAGTCGAGTTGTTCAGAACTTGAAAATAGCGTTGATAAGTAAATCAATTGTTGGTTGAGATGTTGCAAAGGAAATCACTGATTGGCATGTCCTTAAGCCAGTCAGGAAATATCACAGAAAGGTTGACAGACCATTAGCAATAATTTTGCTAATTGTCTGTCAACCTTTCATCTCTATATTTTGGAAGCCACCTTTATTAAAACACATAAACCTGTCCTTTGCCGCCAAAAAGAATTACTATACAATCTACGCATCCTTCAGTAGGTCTGTGACATTTACTGATTGGCTTAAGGACATGCCAATCAGTGATTGCCTTACCGGCCTACTTTGATCTAACTCATTTTATAAGCTGTACCATTTCCTATAGATCATTTTCCAGATGGTTCTGCTATGATTAGTGTCTGGCGAAAAGCTTCAGCAGATATTTCCTTTGCAACATCTCAACCAACAGTTGGTCCAGTTATTAACGCTATTTTCAAGTTTTGAATAACTCGACTTTCAAGATCTACGTATCTACATGTGCCGATGTTTCCGTTTATAAACGTTATATTTTAAGATATGTGCAATAACTCAGCTAACAGATGTTTCCGCATATAAAATCTATCTTCACATTCGCTAGTAATAATATAAAGAATTTCCGTGATGCGACAAATCTGGTGGTTTTGGATATCATGTTCTATGCAAATATAATTTAGTTTATACTGTTGTTTAAATTACTTACATTTTTATTAACCCGTTTTCTAGCGCTGACTTTTCTTGGGTAAGTGAAAATTTTCTTTGATTACAAAGATAAATTCCAGATAAGAACAAGTCATTTGCGAAAAGCTTCATTTAACTCTTTCTCTACCAATAGTTCATGAAGTAGTGAAATCATCTATCAACTTGTAAATAAACTTGCAGTTCAAGAATCAATTGCTATCCGACAGTTGTTTATTGTGGTAGAAACATTGGTAGACAAAGGAGTTAACTTAGTTTAAATAAAATTGTTTTACAGTACGAACCTAGAGATTTACCTATAATTAGATTAGCAGTTAAGAAAACTATATCTTCGACAAAAAAATTGATTAAGAAATCATTGAGTTTGTTTGGGTTTTGGTTGTTGTTGTGTACAAAGGTATGTAGTATACTATCTGTGCTCCGTCCACCACAGGTATCGCAACCAGATTTTTAGCGTCGTAAGCCTGCAGAGTTACTGCTGAGCCACTGGTGGGTAAAACCAGTGAGAGATAAGCAGAGATGAATTAAACGTAAAAAGAGACGTAGAAAGTTACACTCTTTAATGAAGAATATGATATGTATGTTATAGCTGATTTGAACTGTAAGTGATTATTTCTCATTTAAAAGAGACGAGTCACACTATCTGGTAATTGATTTAAAAACGAAACATGTTTGATTCCACAGAGTTGTTGGTCTTTGGCATTTAAAAACTGAACGGCACTCGGCCTATGTGACACATGAATTAAAGGGCCGGATTAGAAACCCATAACTCAGACATAGCATAGAAAATCTAACCAGAAGGAAAACATTAGTCATTACCACCAGCCTTTATATGGTTAATTTTAATTAATAGAAAGATTGTCTGCTACAATTATATCGTTCCCACAGCTGAAAGTACGACGTGTAGTCAGAGACATGTCGTAGCTTGAATCCTGAACCATTCCACAGGAACTGATTTTTATAATCATCTTCATATTCATGCACACATGAGTTATTATCGTACATGAGATCTTACGCCGGCACAGCTTGATCTATATCTTATAACGGCGTTTTGACCGAGCCTATGTGGTTGCATGCCCAACCGATCTGATGAGCTGTTATTGAGCGAAATGCCCTAGCGGCAGCGGTGTGCAGTGCACAAGATGTGCGGTCGAGATGTTATTATATTGTTCTCACTGGGAATCCGAATAAAGCCAATGAAGAATTGTTAAAGGTTATCATCACTGCTATTATGATGTATAGTATCACACAAACAAACGATTGATAGAATATTTACAGTAGTTTAAGTTATTTTGAATCATTACTACTGATGGAAGTAAAAACGTTTCGGACAAAGTATAAGCTTTACACCCCAAATTAACACAGATATTATTTCTCTCACTCTCGGTTTTAATATAGATAGTTGTTAGAAGAGAATTAAAAACTTAATCAGGTTCGTATTTCTTTCTAGTCAACCGCATTTAATCCTTTTCTTACAAAGGATTCCCATTCGAACAGGAATCGACTAGCAAACAAAAGTAAGTAGGAATCAAACTGATGTAAATTATTATAATAATATGTTATGAATTAACGACCAAATAAATATTTCGTATTCTTTCAAATTTCTATATAATTTCCTCTGCCTCTCTGTAATACTTTCATGTGATAACTAACTATTTGGACATCCTATACAGTCCAAATATAAATTAAACTTTGACCTTCATTGGTTATGGTTGACCTGTTCCTCAATCCTTTTTTGTTACATTATAATATTGACATCCGATTACAAATTTGTCATCGGAATATGTTAGATATATTTTTAGATTACTGGGAAATAACTTAATATAAATAAAGGTTTAGCTTAGTTGAACCACATGTTTCAAATCGTAAAATCACGAAAGGAATATTCTTTCTTGCACTTTTATTTTTCCATCGTAAATCATAATTATTCTGGCATATGCTAAGAAGATTGTATCTAAAATTAGAAAATTACTATATTATGTATGTAACCCTGTTGAATTTAATGTATTTATACATTTTGAGAAAATTTCTTTTCAGGTTGTCTTAACTCAGATTTTGACTAAATCGAGTAGTGACCTCAGAAGGAACAAGTAAACTATATCCACATCATCATATAACTATAGGTCTTTGTATGTTTTTATTAACGTTATTAACTTTCTTTGTCTAAAAATGAAGACTAATGAGCATTTGTTTACTATTTTACTATCAAACAAGTTTTTATAGATTTCATATTTCTTTATTTTCTATGTTTCAAATGTCAGTTCAGGGCTTAAAAACGTAGGTATTTATTTAAAGCTGAAGAATACAAGAAACAAAATATTCACCTCTCACGTTTAAAATTATTCCATGACATGCTCTTTAAATAATAATTTTTAGGCAATTCTATATGTATAGTAAATAAGGACTTCATTCACAACATATCAACTTTTACCATCGTCTATCTTTGTAAACTCCAAAATACCTGTAACCCTGCTCACCAATGTAACTGTCTTGAATGTAGTCAAAAGTTCGGCCATTGCTATGGTTTTCATTAAGAAGTTAGCTTCTCTATAATCATTTCATCTATCTTCACTGATTTAAGTTGCAGGTCCTACTTCACCACCTCAATATCCTCCATTAACATTACTCGCATATATTCTTCCTCCGTGTTCTCCATATCCATTCCCCCCAATATTGCCACCTCCGTATCCACCACCTCCATTAACATTACTCACATATCCTTTTCCCCCGTGTCCTCCATATCCATTCCCCCCAATATTGCCACCTCCGTATCCTCCTGCCCCGTTTCCTCCATATCCATTCTTCCCCAATATTGCCACCTCCGTATCCTCCTGCCCCGTTTCCTCCATATCCATTCTCCCCAATATTGTCACCTCCGTATCCACCATCTCCTATGTTATATCCAGATCCTCCTAGCCCTCCAATTTCTGTATATACTTCATCTCCAAATGATCCAAAACCTCCACTGTAATCGCCCACTCCTCCGTGATTTGAAGACTTGCCATAGCTGTAGCCATTAATTTTCTTCGACTTTGGTAAAATAACCTTTTTCCACCAAAACTTGACTATACCCTTGTGATGATCATGACATTCGGGCCCATGACAAGGAGGTCTATATTTCGATCCAATCTTTGCAATAATACTTGGTGGTGGAAACATTTTCACACCCCCATTGTAACCATCAGCCCCTCCACGAAAACCTCCGATATATCCATGTGAACTACTTTCACTGGTCATGAGATCATTCTTGTTCGAAAGTTGACTTGGTTGACTTTCAAACCTTCTAACTAGCATAGAAGGTAATCTACGAACACTGTATCTATCTCTGGAACCACTGGGTAGGACATTGTTAGCTCGGCTGTTCATTGAGAGTCCATAATGATATAATCTCTGGTTATGCGGCTTATTGTATCTTTGAAGTTGATTGATTCCAACCTCAATTGGGGTAGAAAACGACTGGTTTGATTCATCGACCTGTTTCTTCTCAATATAATTTTTTACAGAATGATAAGAGCGACGATTATCAGAACTGTGATCGTGCATTACGTTTGTATTACTAATAACAGACTCATTGTTGAAAATCTGTTGTTGGTATTGTGTATTAAAATCCTTTATTGTTCGATATGGTGTGTCGAAATCGTGGATTGTTTGTTCATTTTGATCTTGATGTCTGGTATTAGAATCCCTCCCAGAATAACTATCAATTAAACTGTTTTCATTAGACCGCAAAACTACAACACGAGGGGAAAAACGTTGAAGAGTGTCTGCTTCACTTTCAAATGTGCTTGCTGTTATCAACTGGACCAATAAGATTTCCAACAAAAAACGTTGTAAACTCTAAGGAGTAAGAGAAAAATAAAACGCTGTTATAATTAAATCTGTATGTACGCACTAAAACATTTTGTGAAAGTGTGAAAATAATAAAATTAAAAAATCAAATACATAATAATGTAATACAAAATCTTCTTTGAAAGTTAAGCATGATAGACAAACAAGTTTGATGTACATCAAAGAGATTTAAAAAGCAGATAACTGTTTTAGTTATACACACATGTATATAAATTTGAGTAACGTTAAAGTATTTTTACTAAGCAGATCAGCAAGTCATATGGCAAACACAACAGATATAAGGTCGGCATCTATGAAAACAACATTTTGGCATTATTTATCATTTCGTAAACAGTGTGATATCTGTTTTTGAAAAAAAAAGTATGTAACAGCCCTTTCCACCGCAAATTCTTCATAATCTCAGATCTTGAAGATATATTCAAATTGGGAATTTAGAACCTCTAAGGTAGAGATATCCCTTGTACTGAATGTCATTGGAAAATAAAGGAACGTGGATCAGCTTAAGGTACCAGGACCATAAAAAAAGTCCTGCAACAATTCGTACTCTAGCCATTGTAAGCAAACGTTCATCATCTTGTAACAGGTAAGAAGCTACGAACACAAAGGTCAGTGACAAAAAGCCACCCACGCGTCCCAGAGAACACTACACAATATAATCAAGAAGGTTTTCCGTCTAGAAACGAGGCCAACAGGGTGTGGGTTCATCAAGATAAAGCATATCTCAAGCAGCTATGGAATGAAAGCATGCTATTACATATGAAAATGTGCTGGTCAAATCGTCGGTCGCAGCACTTATGGACTGTTGAAACTGGCGCTAGGGAACTGTGGTCCCCATATACTAGACTGTTCATGGAAAACAGCAAGAAGGACGGGTTGTACTTTGAACATTACAGCCTCACAGCTGACACTGAACATTTTCAACAGAAACTATGTTTAACAACTTACTTTACAATCACAGTGTAAACTATCAACACGTGACTGTACTCTGGTGCAAAGAGGAGGCTTTAAGATAATACTTTCTTTTTATTCCTTTTCTGTCGTCACTTCCATAATTATTGTCCATTAGTGGGTGAGCGACACATTTACGAACTTACAATGCTACATTCCGGCGCTCCATTCCCGAAAAGGACATAACGCAGATTTGTGAGGATTTGCGTTAAAACAACAATAAAAAAACACAATTATCCACAATAATTTTAGGTCTTCCACGGTCTGAAGGTTAGGACGCTCGATTCGCAGATTGCGAATCGCGGGTTTGAGTCCCATCATCAAAAATACTCATCCAGTGGCTGTCAATCTCATATTCAATGAGAGTAGCCCCCAAAATGGTAGTCGTTGGTGTTGATTAGCTGCCTTTCTTCTAGTCTACCACTTATAAATTAGGAACGGTTAACTCAGGTAGCCCTTGAGTAGCATTATGCGAAACCCAACAACAAACCACTACTGTAGGTCTGCAAGTCATTTGAATCTTTAGAATATAACGTTATCATAGAAACTTTAGATTTTGAAATTCAACTTAACAAAAATAACGAATTCATCAGAATTAATCAGTAAATCAGAATGTGAAACTTAAGATAACTTGAACATTGAAGAGATTTCACGAAAACATTTAAAACTTAAATTGAAATTTAAAAGTTGCTCCAAATCCTGTGTTGTCCTTTGAATTAGTGCTTCCGTTTTTGATTTTGTTCTGTCTGATCTGGTACAACGATTATGTATATAGCCTGACTCCACGGTTTTCACTGTATCAGTCTTTTGGGAAAGAGGGTGGAGGCAGTTTCAAAAAACAAATATTTTTCACACACCCTGTACTGTATGTGAACACCAGCTTCCAAGACTACGTTTAAGTATAATAAGGGCACAACGCTATTACAGCTGCGTAAAGAGACTTGACAGGAATACAGTCAAACGGGACTGCTGTTATTCTAGTTTTATTCGGCAATCTTTCTCATGAAATCCTCCTATGATTTTGATGTGTAATTGAAAGCTAATGAGACTTTGCATAATTCAAATATTTATTATATTGTTAATAGTACCTAGCTTCAATGCACTGGTTTTTCCGATTAGAGGATTTTCTTTCGAAACCATAACTTCCACTTTGTGAACGAGAGTGTTACACCACATTGGTTTATATGTTTTTTTGGAGCTGTTTCTTCTACGGAGAATACTAAACTATCATGTCCTTTGGCTTTGCATCATTTAACAAGTCCGCTATAAGAACATCATTACTCGGAGAGAGTTTTAGAATATAAGTTTCTAGTCACAAATGTATTTATGGTGGAAATGCACTATTCGATCGGTTGGGATTTCACTGTGAACCAAATATATAGGTGTTAAGCACCCCGCTTGTGGCAACAGGGATCGCATCTATGGCGACATGCCTCCCCATTTGGAAATAGCTATTATAAAGTGCTATTAACCCTCTTTATTTTGTGAAATCTAGATGTTTAATTAAATACTTTTTGAGAAATTATTGATTTTATTTGTTTTCAATAATACCAAACAAATAAATTATTCCATATTCCTGCGTTATTCGACTTAAGCAAATAAACAATTTTGAGGGTTCATTTGGTGGGAAAAGGTTAACTTTTGCTTGCTTTAATAATTCTTATCTTATTATGAGCTAAACCATAATATTGTTACACGTGAATATTTTGAAATTTACAGTTGCTGGTGAACAGATTACTGTTTACGTATACTGTGTTTGTTTTCCAACCAGATATTTTCCTTCGGTATGTAAGTTTGTTTGTTTGTTTTGAATTTCGCGCAAACCTACAAAAGGGCTATCTGCGCTACCCGTCCCTAATTTAGCAAAGTAAGACTAGAGGGAAGGTAGCTAGTCATCACCACCTATCGCCAACTCTTGGGCTGCTCAATAATGGGATTGACCGTCACATAATAACGCCTCCACGGCTGAAAGGGCGTGCATGTTTGGTGGAACGGGGATTCGAACCCGCGACCCGCAGATTGCAAGTCGAACACCCTAACCACCAGGCCATGCCGGGCCATGATATGTAAGATTACTTATTTTTAAGCAAGAAGAATTCTTTAAAGTTTTACTGTCGATGAAAGAATTAATGCGTAGAACAATTGAAACAAATAATGTTTCAGCTAAGGCTGTAGTTGTAATGTCAACTGACATGAAGAGCTGTGATATTGAATAAAATACCTCGACTAGAACGTCGTGTAACAAACAAAAGATAGGTGAAATGCTATTGCACTCTTGTCTTACTTAATACTCGTATTGGGCCAACAAAAATTGATTGATATGATGAAATATCAGACACGTGTATTACGTCAACGTGTCATGCTCTGCCAGCTGAGACGTTGTATAATTTAATAATTATGTTCATTTATCCCTATATTATATCGGGCCAGAAATAATCTAGTCGTTAGGTTGCTCAAAATGTAAATCCCAAGGTTCTTGGTTCGCGTCTCATTACCGCAAAAACCTGTAAGGTATGAGAGCGTTGATCAAGTTCCATTATTCGGTCAGACAAGAACTGCTCAAGAGTTGGCGATCTGTGCTGTTGACTAGCTGTCTTTTGTTTAGCCTATCAGCTCAAAATTAGGAACGGCTATGAGCAGATAACCCTTATTTGATTTTGCGTGAAAACTCTAAACAAACAAACCTATATATATATTATTTCCATTTTTTACTGTTTACTTCAGAAATCGTATACTATTACAATTTGAAACAATAAGAAGATTTCTATATAAAAAAACTACTTCGCCCTCCTTAGGTAAACCTGTTTTTATTATCTGCGTGATTGTCAAAGTGCATAATGATATAATTTCTTATAGATAAAGTCCAAGTTCATCGTTGTTCTTAATGAAGTTTTTCAGGCTATATGTGAGTATTTCATTTCAATATATCCTACAATTACAAAGTCATCAATTACACACCATCATTAAATGTATTAATAAAACAATACTTACAGACAAAAATATGTTGGCAGATTATAAAAAAAACCTAGTTCTATAGAATTATTCTCTAACCACTTAATTACAGTTATTTTTATTTATCATTATTGCTTTCGCATTCACAGATGCTTGATCAATATTTTTATTTATTAATATAACATCCTTTTCAAAAACACATATGCATGTTTATTGGTAAAAAATGAGGGCGAAATGGTATTTTAGTTCTGTAACAAATTTGTTATTATATACTTATTTTAATATCAACGTTTGTTTAAATCAAATTTGTATTTAGAAACATACATAGCTTATACTGTTAAATATGTATTGCGAAACTCCCGCTTATTTCCCAGAGTTGTAGAAGATTCTCGAGAGTAAGAATCAACAATATATGTGTGTACGTAAACGCTTAAATTTGTATTGTTACGTAATCTGAATCTTCTAGAAAGCCTCCGAAGCCTGTAAATAAAACCAACGCAACGATCCAAAAGAGAGTATCTATTATTAGTTCGCTATAGTCAGTGTGCTATAAACTTCGGAATCTATAACTGTGCTTGTTATAACGCTTATCAATCGGAAAACTTCAGATATTTGACCAGGAATATTTATAAATTTCGAACATTACAAACCATTTAACTTCAGTGGATTCACATCGGTCATTAACACGATGGAAAACTCAACGTGTGTGGCAAAGGACAAAGCTAGCTAGTTTCCCGTGAAGTGAAATATACCTACGTCAACTAGTAATCAACTCGCTCATCGTGAACCCTCCA